TCTTATGAATTGCAGAAAAGCTTTTGTCTTGTTGAGTGACAAATGGAAAGCCATGGGGGCCATTTTAAGATGAAAATCTACCATAACTGTATTTAGGAATGTTTCTTATGAGAATACTTGGTAGAACCTTAGAATCTTTGCAGAGTTCATTTGTGAAAGGATTTAAAGTGGACTGAGAAGGTAAAACTGAGAGGCCTTGAAATTAGAGTGAAGAGGAAAAATGAGAAGATGAGGATGAAAGATGATTCCTAGATTTATGTACTTTAAACCTAGGTGATTAGCACCTAAACCTAGCACCTGACATTTATACAAAAAATACTGGAAGAACTTAGGGTTTTAGGGATGATATTATGGATTTGTTTTAGGATTTGTTCAATTAGAGTCACTCTGGAATGTCCAAGAGGATGTGTTAAGTACACATCTGGCTGAATAGAGAGAGGTCTAGGATGGAGAGATCAATCTGTGAGTCCTCTAATTACAGGAAGAACTGACATGTGTTATGAGATTGTCGTGGAGGCAGTATATTTGGAAAGAAGAAAACTTCAGCTTGCCTTTAGAAATTCTAATATGTAATAATTGAAAAGAATAGGTTGAGTATGGAAAAGAGTCACCAGAGAGATCAGAGGAAATCTAGGAGAGCACTGTGTTATGGTAGACAAGGCCTTAGAGCTCTATCTCAGTTTATTCACGGTGCTATGACAAAACACTATGAACCAAGTAGCTTACAGACAATGAAAATTTATTTTTCACAGTTCTAAAAGCTGGAAAGTCCAAGATCAAGGTTGTGTCTGATTTGGTGTCTTGGTAAAGGCCAATTCATGGTTCATAGGTGGTGACCTGTAGGTGTTTATGCAAATGGTGGAACGTAGGAGGAAGCTCTCTGGGGCTGCTTTTGTAAGGATGCCAATTTTACTCATGAAGGGGCTGCCCTAATTATCTACTTATGTCTCCAAGTCCCACTCCTAATAAATATCATCACTTTGGTAATTAGGCCTCAACATATGTATTTTGGAGGGGTAGAAACATTCACACCATGTCAGTTTTAAGGAGGAACATATCAAAAGTATAATTCCTGCTTGAGGAATTCAGAAAATGGTAAGCAGAATGCCAAGATGGCCTCATGATCATAATTCCACCCTGGTTTAGCCATGTAGAATCCCTGCTCCTTGTATGTAGACAGGAACTGTGACTTTTTACTAGCCAATAGAAATGGCGATATGGTAAAGGCAATGGTGTAACTGTGGTCCCAAATCAGTTGATTTTTAATTCATCAGAATTGAGGTTATCTTGAGTGTTTCTGGATGAATCAGGTAAAAGCACTTAAAAGAAGGTCAAGACTTTCTTCCCAAGAACAGAGAGAGAGAGAGAGAGAGAGAGAGAGAGAGAGAGAAGGAAGGAAGAAAGGAGGGGGGAGGGGAAAAGAGAGAAAGCAGCCATATTTAAAATGTCCATCAACAAGGAACTATGGAAGGTCTCTAGAAGTTACAGCAACCTTACAGCATAAGGAGGGGAGAGTTAGTCATCCAACTACCAAGAAACACATTCTGCTAACAGCTTGAGTACAATTAGAAATGGATTCTTTCCCAACTGAGCTTCTGATGAGACTCCAACCTAGTAAGATCCTGAAGCAGAGATCTGTGCTTGGACTCCTAACCCACAGAAACTGTGGGATCATAAATGTTGTTGTTGTTTTTTTTAATCCACTAAAGCTTAATGTAATTTGTTACATAATAATAGAAAACCATTACAGCAACATAAAGAGATTATTGGTGATCTGAATGAAAGCTGTTTCAGTAGTATGACAGAATAGGAGCCAGATTGGACCTTTTTGATGGAATGAGTGGGAACTAAGTAAATGGAGCGTGTATAGACAGCTCTTTTGGGAGATTTGCCTGGGAATAGAACAATAATGTATGACTTTAGCTGAATAAGGTTGAGGGAAAATTTTTTTATTTTGTTTTTAATAGGAAATAACTCAAGCATGCTTAAAATTCAGGGTTGTTTTTCTTTTCACAAGAATTGATCTATTTTTACTGGAAGTTTACTTGGCTATGCCAGATACACCATAACTGGATGAAATTAACATTAAATAAACATCTAAGAGCTATATTTGCTGTTGATATAGCTAATCTTAAGAAATAAAATATTTATTTTAAGATTAAAAATATTGTGAAAGGGTACAAAATAAAAAGAAAACAGGATGAACTATGCTCTTTAGAAAAACCTTCCTGCGTGAAACATCTCTAAATGAGAAAGGGCTCCCTTCAATCTCGGGAATCCTATAAACTGATCACAGTTCCACAAACTCTTTACATTCTTAGCAAAAGGAAGTCACTGCCATTTGACTCTATGATTGACTCTATGATTTTCCAAGGCAGTGGTTTTTCTTGGGAGTTAAACTAAAAGCCTTGTGCAAAATCCTACATTGAATCTGTAGAATCACAGGGAAATAACTCCATCGTGTGTTAGATAAATTACCACCAAATATTGATTACAATCTAACACAGCTGCAAGAAAGCTGGATTTATGGCATTTGTTTACAACCTGTACCTTGTCATACTTTTTAAAAAATAAATAGGGTGATAATTTTTTGTGGATTTATATTTCTCTATCAAAATCATGCCCTATGATCCTTAATGGAAAGATTAGTTTGATGAAAGATAATAATAACAAGCAAAGAGAGACAGAGAAGGAAAAAAAATAAAACTTGTTATGTCCCAGGTTCTGTATCCAGTACTTAACACAACTATCTCAAAACAAACCTATAAGGTAGAATTTATTAATTCTCAAAACAATTCTATAAGGTAGTCTCCATCATTATGCTCATTTTTTTAGATGAGTGAACTGATTTAAAAGTCTTAGATTTTAAAACATAATATTCAGGGTCCAGAGATGGTTATATTAAGTGTCACACTAGTGAATAAATACTTTTGTGTGTCTGCAAAGGTAATAGTCTCAACTACCATGATTTGCTACTTCTATTACAAAAAAGATGGTGGCTTTTTCCTTCAGGAATTAATATGCTCTATGAAAGGACAAGAAATACTACTCATAATACTAACAACACTATCAAGGGATGATGATATCTCTGAAGAGAATAAAATTGTACAGATTTTTCATTTCCATTGAAAATTTATAACACAAGCAACAGACTACTTACCTTTTTCATTACATAGTAGGTAACTTCATGTATGTTCCTTACATTAGAATCACTTTGCTTAGGCTAGTAGTTTTTAAATTTGAGTTTGCATCATGATCTGCCATAGGACTTCTTCCACAGATTACTAAGCCCTGCTCTTAAGAGTTTTTCATTCAGTAGTTATGGGTTGCAACCCTAGAATATGCATTTCTATTGAGTCCCCAGATGATGCAACTGCTGCTATTCTGGATACCACAATTCAAAAACTATTTTTAAAACCAAGGTTCAACAATCTTTTATAAAGAACCAGATAATCATTTTTGATTGTGGACCAAATGGTCTGGGTTACAACTACTCAAGTTTTACTTTCTAGTGTGAAAATATTCTATATATGCCTAAGTAAGTAGATGATGGCAGTGTTTCAATAAAATTTTATTTACAGAAATAGATATCATGTTGGATTTCATGAAAACCCACAGTTGGCCAACTATTTGCCTCCATAACTTACTATAAGATCCCTGAAACATCACTATGTTCATTTTAAATAACAACACTATGAGAATCAACATAATGAGAATTTTTGAGATATCCACAAAAATTCCTTCTAAGTTTTTAAAATGAAATTTGTAGAACTATACCAGGGACTAAGAAGACACTCCAAAGTTTCCCTATGATTATGGCATTTGCTTATTGAATACCTCCAATAAAAAGAAGTAATACTTTTGTGCAAGAATTTTCATGTTACAAATGCCACAAACTCTAACCTCACTTTCATATTTTAATTTTAATTGGATATCATGTATAGTGTAAAAGATATAAATCTGCAAATTAAAAGAAGATCAATGCTACATTGAATTACATAGATTTCATCTCAATAAGGTTATTTATTGACTTTCTAATAAAACAAAACAAACAAAAAAATACATACTTGTGAAGTGTATGCTCAACTTTAATATATTCGGTCTTTGCCCAGAGTAGTGTACTTTAAACTAATTTAAAATCCCAGTGTAATCTTAAAAGTCTATTATACTGTATACTTCAGTGAACCTACTAAATCATCATTATCCTTAAGAAATGCAAGTTCCTGTATTAAGGCAAAGTGCAGATAATTTTTTTGTCATAAAAAGAATGTGGTTAAGTTCCCTGAAAATAATTATACACAGATATCATGAGGAAAGTCAGTGTTGCAAATCTTTTACAAACTTAAAATGTGAATATTATGTTTAAAATCTCTAACAATCTACTATACAGACTATACATATTTAAGTAAAATCTTTACAATTACATATTCTAATATTTAATAAATTAAGGATGAACAAAAATGACTTTATAGTGTCTTTTAAAGATTTTTTCTTAAATTTGATTAAATCAAATGTTTCCATTTGACAGAGGGATTCATGTTTACCCTTGGATATTTATTCTTTAGTAATACAGTGGTTTTCAGAGTTTTCAGTTTTAAAAAACTGTGGTCAAATGGACACTGGAAAATGTTTATTTTAAGCACATTCTAAGAGTTTCCTTATTTCTAAGTTTCTAAAAACCATTAATATGCATGATATGTGTGTCTAAGAAAGATTTGGTAGATTGTTCAGCCTTTTCCACTTTCATCTGAACAGGGAATCCAAAGATCAATAGAGCATCTTAAAGTACAGAGACATATTCAGGAAAAAAAAAAAAAAGATCTCAATGCTTGTGTTCAGGTAGGACGTGGCCATTTGTTTTTAAAAATCAACTCCATTCAACAAATATTTACTGAATACCTCTCCTACTTGTCTAAACATTTAAAGGTAAACCTTTAATTTCACTGTTCTACTCACCAAGATCTATCTAGAACACAGTTAATCCTATTAAACATACTTACACTCCTCTTCAGGCCTCTTCCGAAGTGCTGCACGAACCTCTTTACAAGGACTTCTCTGATATTGTGGGGGATTTCTTCCCCTTATTAGATTCTCCATCCTGTAAGAGAAAATTCAAGGTGTATTTTAATGGCAAAATCTAGATAAATCCTGGCAATTTAAATGGTATAAACAGTCACAAATTCAAGTACTTACAGAAACCTGATAACACCACTAAGAGTATCTGACAAATAGTATGATGGTAGGAAATGAGAGGAACTAATGGAGAGTGCCTGAGTTTTCCAGGTATTTCAATTAAAAAAAAAATTAAAAACACCATGTGGACAAAACTCATGCATGTTCTCCAATTAGAGACTGTTATGGACAGAATGTTTGTGGATTTATTGAAGCCCCAACTCCCAGTGTGATGGTATTTGGAGGTGTGCCTTTCGAAAGGTAATCAGATTAGAGGAGGTCATGAGGGTGACTGCTCATGATGGGATTAGGTCCACATAAGATAAGAGAGAAAAACTAGGGCATAAGCTATCTCCACCACAGGAAGACACAGCAAGAAGGATGCCATCATCTGCCAGCCTAAATGAGAACTTTCAAAGAAATTATGACTACAAACTCTTTAATTATGACATTCCCAGCCTCAAAACTGCCAGTAAAAACAGGTCTATTATTTATGCCACAAAATCTATGAAAATTTGTTATAGCAGCCCAACCCAACCTAAGATAACCTATTAACAAACAAGTAAATAGTTGAAGTAAACATATTTATAAGTTATCCTTTAGAAAGAACATATATTTCACTGACTTTTCAAATACCAATTTTCAAGAGAAGAATTGTTGCTTTCTTTTCATGCTAATAAATGAAACTGAAGATATTTCTAATTATAATAATTGTGACTTCTTAAAGATGAAAAATGGATAAACTGTACTTCTCAGTTCTTAGCATGGTGCTTAGGATCAAAAAGGACAAATTTATCGAATGCAACTGTGGTGAGCATCTTTAAGAGCACACACTTTGTGGTTAGCACTTTCTGTTTTCAATAAAGTTTATAGTTTTGCACCTTTAATGTGCCCTCTATTAATTTCTAAAACATAAAATACCTCTATACTCAGGATTTGAACATTCATAAAAAATTCTCAAGGTATTTATTTACATTGTGAAAATATAAGTATGGCTTCTTAATATCTATGTAATTATTCTAAATCAGGGATAACATGTGTTTTTGATAACTATCCTGTTTCAAAGAATGTATGCCATTGCAAACAGTATGGTTATTATGCATATTATGATAGAGGGTCTCCTAGGGCTACTTGTACAGAAGACTTTGCTTCTGATATTCAGAGTGGAAATTAGGAAATGATGATAATATAAAAGCGATATTTAAAATAGTGTGAAATATGAAATAGCCTTTTGTACTAGAATCATAGCATAACACTATATTTTGGGGAAGCTATAATTGGCACTAAAAAACAATCTTCCAAATAAAAGAAATGAAATCAATCCACTCATATGTAGATGCTGCTGTGTTTGTGCATGCTAATATGCCTATGACTGTGTAAAGTATAAGAAACTGTAATATATAATACCTTGAATATTAGTTTCCCTTGAAGCTCATTTCAAGTGAGAAAAAGAGTTATTTCTCTTGAGATTAGGATAATACAATGATAGGAAACCAAGTGAGAACTTAAAGACACAAATTCCTTATGTATGTATGTATGTACATATGTACACATATATGTATATATGTGTGTATGTAAGTATGGATATATCTACTTATCTCCTCTGCAGTTTCATCATGAAGATTAGTTATGCCAATTAAATTATCTCAAATTTTCTAGTTTGTGACTCTTGAATTAATTCAGTGAACAATTCTGATTATATGTTTCAGCAAGTGCATGAATTTCCATGATGATCTAATAACAATTTAAGCGAACTTGTAATTATTCACTAGTATTTCCAACCTCAAGATTGTAAAATATATCATACGTAACCTGCACATGCAAATGTCTACATAAAATTGTGGTGTAATTTTAAATATGAATTTATTTGCCATGATTATACTCTGATAGGGAGAGACAACTTATCCATTTGGAAATATATGTACACCATTCTCTTGATAAGGCTATTATTTTTTATTTTATATCTCTGACTATCGAATATGTGAAAACAAAACTGATTTTATTTCCATGTAGCTATGATTGAGATTAGAAAGTATTCCCAAAGACTGGGAGATTTTCACCTACATGGTTCCTGTTAACATCCAAAATCCCCAACTCAGACTCCCAGGGATCAGTGCCCAGAGGAGGCCTGCTGGGAACACCCACGAGTGGATATCCTGGAGATTATGCCAGGTTAGCAATGTAGCATGGAGGAAATGTAAAGAGCTTAGCTCTGGAATCCCCAGGCTCAACTCCTATTCTGCCTCTTAAAGGATGATTTTAAGAAAACTTACATACTTTGTGCTTTCATTTTCTCATCAGTAAATTGAGGATAACTTTATCAGCCTTGTAGGTGTGAGGAGTAGATGTATTTGCACAAGTAAAATGCTTTGCATTGTGGCAGTCACAATACAAGAGTTCATGTAGCTGTAATTAGTCAGAATCAACAAAAGTAATTATGAAATCATGTAGTAACATTTTACATGTCCAGTGTGTTAAGAAAAAAAAAAACTAACAAATGTTCTAAGTATTGTACAGAAACATGAAACATCCATGTGTATGAATTGCCAGTTTTCAGAGATGAAAAAATTAAAACAGTGTGTTTCATTTTTATCTGTAAGACTTAAGGGATTACTGATAAAAATATTTAGCTGGACAAAAAGTGGGCTTTTATTTCTATAGATTAAATAAAGTGCTACATATCGTATCATTCTCAAAAATTTTAGAAAATATTTCAAAATTTATAGTGACATCTCACCTTCATAAGAAAAATGAAAATATTTATAAGATGTTAACATTTACAATTTATTTTATTTAATACTTTGAACAGTATTCTTAAAGATAGAGAAAATAAAGCTCAGAAATGCTCAGTGACACTCATTGCCACACACAGGTTGTGAGAAGCTCAACTAAGACTTAACCTATCTTTTCTGATTTTTATTTTCTAACTGCTTTTTATTCCATTATTTCCATGAATCCATGGGTATATATTATAGTTTCATTAGGAGACTGAATTCTTTAGATTCTACTTTGTAATGTATATTTCATTATATAAAATTCTTAAGCACATTAATATTTAATACATATTATATATAAGTGCTTTTCATATAAGATGTAGTATATAAAATTAATACTATACCCATACTTGCTTATATGTTAATCCACTGATTACATATTGAGTTTTAATTGTTTTGTTATTACCACTGATTTGTTCATGTCTATCAATGACATTTTGAGCTTTCAAGAACTGTCAAAAAGATAAGTGGGGTGAAGAAATTCCCTTTTATGTATATTATATACTAGTAGATGAAAAAAATTATAAAACATTAAAAATCCTTTTGTTCTTTAGAATGCTAAATGCTGTTCCCACTGGACAGGGAATGAATCCATTTAAAAGTTTCACAAAGCTGGCATGGTGTTGGACATCTGTAATCTCAGCAACTCAGGAGGATTGCAAATTCAAGGACAGCCTCACAATTTAGTGAGACCCTCAGGAATAGCAAGATCGTGTCTCAAAAAATAAAAATATCTAGGTTATAGCTTAATGGTAAAGGACTCCTAGATTCAATACCCAGTAACCAACACACACACACACACACACACACACACACACACACACCTTTTTTCTGCAAACTGCTATATAACTATGTGACTTCCATTTTCTTGAGATTGCACTCCTGGCTGCCTGAACTCTTCGACCAGTATCATATGTGATCTATGGTTAGCATTAAATGGTCAACCAAGATGACCATGAATAAAATCTTGGAGCACAGCCAGGACAATGCAAAGGAGCTGTTCTGCTGCTCTCTGGCTTGGCAAGCCACCAGTGGGGGTGTGCTAACAGTTCCAGCAAGGAGAGATGAAGTGTGATGACCACAGGCAAGACAAACGCTCTGACAACTTATTGAGGAGCTCTGAAAAGTACAGCCTACATGTCCACCACTGAGACTGAATAACAGCATGAAATAACATTCAGAGGTTATGAACAAGGTGTCCACAACCCTCTAGATAGTGTCAACCCAATTTAGTTTAAGTCTCACAATCACCTGAGAAGCTTTAAGCAAATCCCAATGCCCCATTCCCAGCACTAAAGATTTTAATTCGGTCAGCTAAAGCCAAGACCTGATTGATGTATTTTTTTTTTACATTAATCAGGTCCTCCTAAAGTATCTGGTCTTATACTTGTCCAGACACTGGCATTTAGGATACCTTGAAAATAGAAAATACACACTTAGATATGTAGAGAAGGCAAGTTCAACAGATTCACTGAGATGATAATTCTCCACTGATACAGAGTTGGAGTAAGAGCATGGAGAGGGTCTGCAGTTAGAACAGGCATATAAAAAATGAAAGGAGGAATGAAAAAGATACAATCAAAGCCTTGACAGGTTGCCTGGTGGTCAACCAGAGAAACCTGGAGACTGTTCATTTACAAGGCTGATAATATCAATAGTAAAATGATTAACAGATTCAGACAGATCAGAAAGCAAGTTAGGATTGATCTGGAATGGTGGATTGGGATGGGATCATGGCTGGTGAATAAAGATCTGTTTGAAAGGGATTTATACTAGATGAAAGAGGAAAATAGGGAATGACTAATTCAATGGAGGATGAGGGAGTGGGGTTAAGAGAATAAAACTATTAGGAAGAAGTTTTATAAAACACCTTTCATTCCATGTTAGGTTCTTTATGTAATACATTTTCTTTTTTTTTTTCAAATATTTATTTTTTAGTTGTATTTGGACATAATGCCTTTTATTTTATTTATTTATTTTTATGTGGTGCCAAGGATCGAACCCAGGGCCTCGCACGTGCGAGGCAAGCACTCTACCGCTGAGCCACAACCCCAGCCCATGATTTTCTATGTCATCATTGTTTTATCTCTAATTAATCCAAGTCTCAGAGATGGTAAGTGATTTGCTTGGGATCATATAGGGAGTGTGTACA